ATGGATGGATGGATGTTTTAAATCAATTGACAGCACTACAAAACTACATCACTGAGCACATATTTACACACATGCTGCACATGGGTATAATTCTGTGAAAATAAATTCTAAACAAGAATAATTTATATATACTAATACATGTATTATATCCTAATGTTCATATAATCCACCATGAAGGTTTTTATCTGTTATACCCTTTGTATTCCTGAACATCTCTTTCCATCAGCTCCCACCAGGGGGCGCCACAGCAGATCCTCATTCTCCATCATAAATCCTCTTTCCCTCCATCTCCTCCTTCTCTACATCCATTAACTTCTGTTTCTTCCTCTGTTCCTCCTCTCCTGCACCTCCATGTTCAACATCCTTTGTCCAGTTGTACTTATGTAGTAAATCATTTATGTAGGATATTTGGACATTTAAATTTAGTATTGAATAAAAACAATTATTTTCCTGCTTGTCGTCGTCATTCTGAACGTAGATCCTGAGTTCAGGTGGATCCAGTGAATGTGTCTCTGCTGCTCTGACCCCGTGATGTGGAGGAAGGAGGCGGGTTCAGCTCAGTAAAACCAGCTGAGCTGAAGCTTCAGATCAGTCAGAGCTACGATGAGACCAACATGTCTACCAGCTTCACTCTGTGAGTACAAACACGTTAACATCTGCTCACCTTCTCATGGTTCATTTAGAGTTTGGAGTCAAAGCGTAAAAGAATATATAAGAATTTAGATTTATAACTATTCACATTGACTCCCAAGCTAGTCAGATTTTAAAGAGTTTCAGTTTCTGATCTAAATATTTAATTTTTCTTTAGTTCTGGCCTCATTGCTGTTCTCAACTGGGGTTAAAGGTTGGTAAATCTTTTTACATTTTCAAATATGTTGTTTGGAAATATCAGATTTGAAGAATTTAAAATGTATTTTCTCCACAACTGACCTCATGATCATTTTATTTCCAGTTCTCCCAGTTCGTCTGACTGTGAGTCCCAGCAGATCTCAGTTCTTTAGAGGAGAATCAGTGACTCTGATCTGTGAGGATGAAAACAGCTCTGATGGAGGAACTGTGAGGAGAAACACAACCAGGAAACTGTCTGAGTGTAAAGATGGATGGGGAGAAGCTG